TGATCTATTGAATACTGATAATTTCTCAATATCATGAAAGACATCCAGGTACAAAAAACCTATATCACCTATTAAATTCTAAGTTTAAAGGCAGCATTCAATTGGAAAAGGTGATTACTGAACCAAGTTTCAAAAGCTAGATAAGAAATTTGTATGGGATGGCATTCCTACTTTACTTAGCTGAGGGTATAACATATGTACAGGCACAGAACTAACCCTGTGTATTGCAGCAACTATGAGCAGTTTTACATAAGATGTAAACTTTAAGGTTGGAGTGTAGGTAGAAAGCCTCTAGAACTTTCCAGCTTCTCCTGAGGTGCAAGAGAAATAGGATCCTCTGAAAGGAGAGTAGGGGTGAAAATGAGATCCTTTCTATACTGATTCTATTTTATTAGCCTCTGTCCCAACCATATTGGCTTGTCTGAAGGAGACAATTAGGACATGTCTCCCAGGCTTATGAGAGCCAGCCCCTCCCAATGACACAAAAACAGCAGCAGTCATGGTGATAACAATGCTGTTTACTAAGTACCTAGCATGTTTTTCTTCTTACTGGTCCCTTTACATACAGTATCTCAATTATAAAATCTACCCAGAAATAGGTATTATTCCCTCTTTATGCTTGAAGAAATGAAGATGAGCTTGTTCAAGGTCACACAGTGGGTATATAACTGGCTTGCAAACTCAAGCCTTTGGAGCTTCAAACGCCATGTTGTGCCATGAACCAACATAATGAACATCCTGTTAGAATACACCAAGAGAAACTGCTCTCTCAGTTTGGCTTTTCTTCTTTCTGCAGAATGAAATGTTAGGTTGGGAGTGCAAGGTTCTGAAAGATATAAAGGAGATATGCTGCTCCACTCACAAGTCCATGAGGTCCTTCCCTCACAATGTAAACCTGAGTTGGGAAAAGTCTGCAGTATCTAGATTTTAGGAAATAGCCATTGGTTTGTCTTAATGTTAGTTCAGGACTCGACCATTACCTTCAAGTGCTGTAAGGATATTAAACTTCGTTAGAGATTTACAGCCAGGCTGAGCTCTAATTCCAAAGAGAGTCTTTGTCCCTCCTCTAGAATGGGCTTTCTGATTCCTACTGGTGTCCTCAGAAGAGCTGCAGACTCTGGGGAGACCAGACAAGTAAGAGCAAGATTTGAACCCAAGGGATCATGACTCAATTAAGTCTGTCCTCCTGAGTTCTCTCTGGAACAACCCTGACATACTGGGATAGCTATGCTTAAATTTAGATTCTGTGTCCATTCTTCTGGGACAAAACCTGCTATTTTCCTTCTTCACTGAGGAAAATGAGTAGGTTGTTAGTCCAGGTAGAATTCCCACGACCCCTGAAGAGAATGCTTATAAGTGCCAGGACTCAGAGGCGTTTGCAGAGCCCCAGGCTCTTGCTCTTGGACACTATCCAGCCCAGGTAAGAGCATCTTATAAAGAAGAATCTATGGAAAAACAAAACAAAACAAAACAGGTCATCAGGAAGAGTTCCCAGCCTATAAGGATGAACAGACTTGGGACCCTCACTTTAGATCATGCTCCTGTATAAGTCTGAGATAGGACTCAGAGGGAAAGAATTCTCTTGGAAGGGAACTTAGAAAAGGTGGAGTCCACACAGAGCCACACACAAGGACGTTGAAGAGGTCCTTAGTTCTCTAATGCCAATATAAGACCATCCAAAACATCTCCAAATGCCTTAAAGAGGCACAATATTTTATTCTCATTCAACATAGACAGGCACTATGCTAGTACAGAATTACACTAGAGAACAAGATAGTCATGCTCTCTAGTCCTATGGAACTTAACATTGGAGAAACATGCATATAAGCAAGCAATTCAGAGTACGATGTGTACAGTCCAAAGACAGGCACTGAACACAGACTAAGGGCTGGAGCGGGCTTTTTAAAAGTGAAATCTAAGCTGTGGTAAGGTGCATATGTAAAAATTACTTGGAGAAGAAAGATGAGATTATGCCATTTCTGACACCAGCAAAGAACATGATGCTGGTTCTTGTTGAAAGGTAGTGAGCAGGGTGAGGAATGGCAAAAGCTGTGTTAGATACTGGTAAATGTATATGAGTAGAGCTCAGGTGGGAGGTTGGCCTGCTGTGATTCCTTATACTCTCACGGCACCCCTGAAGAGGTGCAGTAACCTCCTCCTGTGACTCAGTAGTGACGGGACTGACAAATGGCATCAGGATGGAAGATAGACTGCTGAAACAGTTTAAGGTATGAGGGCTTCTGACTAGGGAGGCATAAGTTAAGGAGTGTTAGACTCTTAAGGAAAGAATGGTGGTGGGGGGCGGTGGTCACCAATTCTCAGCCTACCCCCATCTAGCAGCTGAAGTTTATCTCAGTAGTAGGGGCCCTTTTCAGCTTCTTGAAGAAGGCTAGAAATAGGAAGAGATGAAATGGAGATGAAACATGTTAAGCATGGGGAAGAGAGTGAGCAAGAAGGAATAAAAATCAAATCCACTTTCTCTAGGGCTAGAGGCCAGTTCAGAGGACTGAGGATATTTGGTTTGGATCTAATAAGGTCTGTGATGTAATAGAGGCTGAGGGCTTGCTTACTTTCAAGAAAAGTCAGTTCTCCTCATGCCATAATTCACTAAGTATACATTTTAGCCTCATATGTAATTTGGGCTGTGAGATCCTCTTATGACATGACTTCTCTGCCCAAACGTAGAAAGAAACCACTGCCCCAGGGTATAACTCAGTAGTGATGGGACTCAAATGGTATCAGAAGGGAAGACAGATTGTTAAAATATCTTCCTCATTAACACAGGAGGAGAATATCTTCTATAAAGGGGACAAGCATGGGAACAAAAGACACTCACTTGGAAGGCCTGCTGATTTTCCCATTCAAGGACTCTTTCCTGGAGTAAAACATTCTCCACATGATTACACCTTTGCTTAATATAACATCAAGTTGCAAAGCCAGTTGATTAGATGTAGGGGTGAAGTAGGCAAATCTCCTTTTGTTGTAAGTCTAGAAATTGGGATAAAGGTTGCTTAGCCCTGACCACCATGAGATTATAACTCTTTTGCTTTTAAAACTAGTTGCGAAGGTTTGTGTCCTGCTGAGGAAGCAGACTACTTTTCAAGAGACAATACGGGGTGAAGATTGTATACCATGGGTTCTGGTTTGATGCAATCAACGAACAAGTGGCATGGTCAAGGGAGCAATTGGAGAGACTTTCTGCAGAGGCCTGGGTAGGGTGAAGAAAACAGGCAAGGGATGCTGGAGCACAGTGAGCAGCATCACCTAACTCAGCCTGACCAGATAAGGGAAAATGCAGTTGCCAGAACACAGGATGAGGTTACTTTTCAGGAGCTGTAGCTTTGGCAGAAAACCACAGCATTGCCAAATGTACCTGGCAGGAAGGGAACTGGGGGATAAATTCCTGATCTCTTCTGTTGGTGCCTCACATTGACTGAGCCCACATAGAAACCAGAGAAGGAAATCTGGGTAATGCAGCCCATCACCTTCTAGCAGATGGAGAGTAGCCAGCAGATAGGTTAAGGAAACCAAGACAGGTTCCTCTCAGATAAGCCCCTCACCTGGTCACTTCAATCACAGGCTAGTTCCTGTGTACTCCTTTCCATCCGAACCCCACTCACTCAGTCTTTTTGTCTTCCCTTTTTACTGCTACTGCTAACACTATCTATTTCCATTTGTAGTGAGCGATCTATGAGAACCTTGAGATGGAGAGAAAAACCACCTCATGAAGAATTCTGTGAGACAAAGTCATTACAACAGGCTTATACAGGTTGTTATCCATCCCACGCCATGGCTCCTTGCAGAGAGATATTCCAGAATTCTCAGAAGTTTATTGAATGTATTTTTGATTTTACACATTATTCTCAACAACTGACTAAAAAGAGCTAATGCTTAGAGTTACTGTTAGATGCTGCATTCTCTAATCCTCATGACTTTAGGTTTAGATGTGTTGTGAAATGGGGTCAGGTGTATTTAACTAATGGGATAAAGTAACCTGCCTAAGCTCCATTTGCCAAGATCTGAAGCCCAATCCAGAAAATTCTAAAGCCCAAACTGACAACTCCATCATATTCAACCCAACTAGACTCTTCTCTTCCTTGGCATTCTGCTGTGATCCTTCAGACCCTGAAAAAAAGCAAAACAATTTCCATGTGTTTTCTCTAAATACACATCTTTCTTTCAGACAGTTGCTCTGGACTCTAAGGGCATTTCTTCTTTGGCCAAGATTTTGTCATCTAAGCTTCACGCCTCTTGGCATTGAATCTCCTTCCTGGGGATAACCTTCTCTGCTTTTGGGATCTTATCCTCATATTCAGCCTCCATGCCGGGAAAAGGCCTTGCAAAGATCTGCCTTTGGACAGACACACAAACTGAGCTCCAGTAAGCAGCTTTCACCTTTTAGGAATCACTGTTTCCAGCCTCTGGAAGTTCTTCACCAGCTCACATCTCTGCCTTGTGATTTTGGCAGGCGGACTAAACATCTCAGCTTAATTAATAGCTAATGCTGGCCCCAAGCATAAGCTTTGACTTACTATAGGGTCTAGATAGTCCCAGGAGTCTGTCATTGTCTTTCTGAGTATCAGTGTCTCTTCTTTCGAGGGGTCCTCACTTTGAAATCTAATGATTCTGGGAGATAACTCATAGTCTACTTGAAGAGTTTAATGATTAACTAGGTACTTGTCTGCCTTAGGTCATTTCATTCATTGATACAAGAATATTATTCTTTGAGAGCCATATTGCAAAAAATATTCATACATTCACTTATTCAGACATATATATATTTCTGCTTGTGCTTGGTAATTTTTCATGGGTATTATAACAGTAATAACATGACACATACTATGACATTTTACAGTTTTTTCTACAAAAGAAGGTTATAGAATCTTATCAATGATCCTATTCTTTATTATAGGATCTAAGAATAAGATATTGTCTTATTTCTAGAAGAAAGTTCTACTGAATTTTGGGGAACAAGTTAGAAGATTCATTTATAAATAGCCATGCTCACTTTTCATAATGTTTGTTTGGTGCCCAGCTCTTTCCAGCTTACCGGCATCCCAGGGCTTGAGTCCCTGCATATCTGGCTCTCTATCCCCTTTGGCTCCATGTACCTGGTGGCCGTGGTGGGGAATATCACTATTCTGGCTGTGGTAAGGGTGGAACGTAGCCTGCACCAGCCCATGTACTTCTTTCTGTGCATGTTGGCTATCATTGACTTGGTTCTGTCTACTTCCACTATGCCCAAACTTCTGGGAATTTTCTGGTTTGGTGCTGGTGACATTGGCCTGGATGCCTGCTTGGCCCAAATGTTTCTCATCCACTGCTTTGCCACGGTTGAGTCAGGCATTTTCCTTGCCATGGCTTTTGACCGCTATGTAGCCATCTGTGACCCATTACACCATACCACTGTGCTCACTCATACTATGGTAGGAAGTTTGGGGCTGGCTGCCCTCCTCCGGGGTATACTCTACATTGGACCTCTGCCTCTGATGATTCGCTTGCGGCTTCCTTTTTACAAAGCCCGTGTCATCTCACACTCCTACTGTGAGCATATGGCTGTGGTCACTTTGGCATGTGGTGACAGCAGGATCAATAATGTCTATGGGCTGAGCATTGGCTTTCTGGTGCTGATCCTGGACTCGATGGCCATTGCTGCTTCTTATGTGATGATTTTCAGGGCTGTGATGGGCCTGGCAACCCCTGAGGCTAGGCTTAAAACCCTGGGGACATGTGGTTCTCACATCTGTGCAATTTTGATCTTTTATGTTCCCATTGCTGTTTCTTCTCTCATTCACCGATTTGGCCACCAAGTGCCTCCTCCAATCCACACTCTGTTGGCCAATTTCTACCTTCTCATTCCTCCAATCCTCAATCCTATCGTCTATGCTGTTCGTACCAAGCAGATACGAGAGCGATTTCTCCAAGTCCTGAAGATAGAAACTAAAATTAGATGACTCCTACTTTCTTCTCTCTCAAGCACATGGAGAATATGTTTAAATGTGGCAGACAGCTTCCCAAATGGGAACTTCAAGAAGTCTGAGATGTTAGGCCCTGTGGTCTCCAGCTTTAGTAATTCCAAAGGAATGCTACAACTCTAAATTCTAAGGGTAGAATAGCTACAGGATATTTGAGCTGTGGAAGGGAAAACAATGACAATGTCAGTAACAGAAATAGCAGTTAATGTTTATTCAGCAATTATATGTCATGTAATTCTTACAAATATCTTGACATTTTATGAGGTAGGTGGTATTCAGATTTTACACATGAGGAAATCAAACAGAATACACCTGCTTTTTAAGCTGCGTACAAAGTTTTTTAAACTGCCAAAATCAAATGTTTTGAAGTTTATGTATTGTACTATGTAATACTTTCTACTCAGTTTTTTTGTGTATGCTTTAAGTAAATCCTAAAAAATTGGTATCATTTCATGAAAGTGGCCATAACTACAAGGAAAACATTTTCTGATATAGGCCTTTAACAATTGATACTGCTAAAACTGCTTGTACTAATAAAGCGTGGAGTGTACTAGAAAAAGATTGATGTGTATGCCTGGCTGGTGTGGGGCATACCACTCATGAAAGAGAACAGCTCCATAAGGAAATGAGGCAAAATGACCACATCTCAACACTGCTCTTGTTGTATTTCCCCCTGTAGACCTGCTCCCATCAAGTAGCCTGAAACATGTGACGGCTCCATGGAAAGAAAGACCTTATCTTTCCCTCAGAAGCTCTCCTTAACCCCTGGGTCCATCTGTAGGATCCTTAATCATAATGTGCTCTTTCTTGAATCACAATAAGGTAAACTTATTACTTCTAACATTTATAGGAACATTGACTTTACCTTCCAGGTAGAAAATAGATAACATATGTAAGGCACTTAGCTAGTTACCTGCTGTTGACTGAAAATTACTAACGTGAGCCTCACAACCACACTGTAAGGGCAGAAATTACTATCCCTCCATTGCAAATGAGTAAATTCATGTTCCCAGAAGTGGTAAAAAAAAAAAAATCACCCAAGATCAGTTTACTAGAAGTAAACATTGAGAAGTAAGCATTTTTTGAGTCTTTCTGATCCTCATTTTCCTGAACTGTGAGGAGCTGAAAGTCTTCTTTCCCCAAGACCTGAATGGTTGTGCATTTAACATTTCCAGCACAGCAGACATTAGCTGTAGTGTTTATTCCCAGAACAGGGAGCACACAGATCAAAGCAGTGTTCCCTTACCAGAGGAATGACAAAGGTTAGAGCTGGAGTCAATAAAAGTCTAATGACAAACTCTATAACCTCATAAACTAAACAGGCAAGAATATGTTGAGTCTACTGGGCTTCAGGTATACCACAAACCACCACTAGGCATGCTCTAAAGGGAAGTAAAGTACAAAGGAAAGACCACTACATAACCAGGAAGAGTGACTTTTGGTTCTGCTTTGGCTAGTCCAATTAATTGCCCCACTACTGGGTAATCTAGAATGAGTAATTATTTAGGCTTCCAATTATATTCATATTTCTTCCAATGCCTCTAACTTCTATCTCATCACTCCATGGTGTTCAGCTTTCCTGAACCTTTGAGTTTGTAGGAGTCAAATATTCTTATGAATGGGAAAGCAATCATAAGCAAAGTCTTGTTTTACCCATGTCCACCATGGCTGGGGACTTGGTAAAGATGTTCATAGTTAGCTCTAAAAGATGTTCACCAGCTCTCAACTACCTTTGTGGAACATGACAGAAAGGGAGAGGGCCAAGGACCCAGAACTACCCCTGATGTTAATATATCATATAACTACCCCCTTAAAAATATTAGAGAAGTTAGAAACCTTATTCTCCTTCAGTGAAGAACATTTAGATTTTCTAAGAATACTCAAGGGAGTTAAACAAACTCGGACCCAATTTATGGCATTCTTCCTTTGGAACTCAGCCTAGCACATTACTTTGACTTTATTTTCTGAAGAATGCAGTCTTTCAGATTGGCTGTGGGATACCAAAGTCTCTCAATTTTAATATCTTATGTATTTTAATATAAATATTGTGAAATCTGGATGTAGCCAAGAGGCATTAAGTTGGCTACCTAACCAGAAAAGGCTGAGTTTACAGAACATACAAGAAATCATGGAGGTTGTTGTGTCAACCTTTGAACATGCCTCTCAGATCTCCCATGATAGGGTGTGTGATTGACTGAGCTTCAC